CCTCTCCCCTTTCTCTTTCCCCTCTCCCCACTCTCTCCCTCTCTCTCTTCCTGCTCTCTCTCTGCCCCTCGCTCACCCTCTCTCTGCTCTCACTCTCTCTCACCCCAACTTTCTCCCCCTCTCTCTCACCCCTCTCTCACTCCCCTCTCTCCCCACTCTCCCTCTCACCTTTCTCTCTCACTCCTCTCTCTCCCTCTCTCTCTCCCACTTTCTTTCCCAATTTTTCTCCCCCAATCTCTTTCTGCCCATCCCCTCACCCTCTCTCCCCCTCCCTTTATCACCCTTCTCTCACTCCCCCCTTTCTCTCCCCCTTTCTCCAAATCTCTTTCTCCCAATCTCTCTCTCCTAATCTCTCTCTCCCCTCATCAAATGCAGGGATTATTATTAATGCAGTGTTGGGGATGTGCTGCATTATCAGATGCGGTGATAAACTGAGCTGCCTGTTCAAGTAAACATTAAGGATCGCAGGGCACTATTCAAAAAGAGAAGGGAGTTTCTCCTGGTGTCCTACTTAACAATCGCACAAATAAAATTGTCATTCACTTCATGGCTGTTTGTGAGAGATAAAAAGTTCCATAGGTTAGTGGTATAGTGACTGAAGGTTTGGTCATTGATGGTAGAGCGCAGGGGGTGGGCGGACATACAGCAAGCTCATATTAGCTGAGTGTAGAGGGTAGAAACAGATGAGTAACATACAAGAAGATCAGAAGGATTGAGAGAGGTCCTAAGATGTAAAGGGATTTATACACTCTCCTGTTTGGCCCTTCCACTCGACAAACTCAGACTTGCTACACATACCTCCCCCCTCCTTCCCACCATGTGTCTTTAGACACTATAATAATAATCCTTGCGTTTGATGTAGTGCCTTATCACATCTTCGAGATGTCTCAAAGTGCTTCACTGAATGTAATGTAAAGTGAATTGACTGTATATTTTGTGGGCAGTCGTGGATTGAGTGACCAAACTATTATTATTTTTTTTTGAAGGGATTATTTCCCCCGAAAAGCGATTTGCAATTGACGAACAACTGGGTTCCTACTTACTGCTACTTAAACAAAGACGTGTGTAGTAAGGAAATTTGCCAAATTATTTCGCCCTGCCCGGGAATCGAACCCAGGTCCTCTCGCTTGGAAGGCGAGGGCCCAGACTATGCCGCTACACTCTGGAACTCATCCCTACATAATGTGAAAATCTTTCTCAAGAAGTTAATTGGCACTGACTTTTTGGATTTCAACCAACAGCCATTGTAAACTCTCTTTGTTCCTAATTTATCGCGAGCAATACCACACAAAACATTCAAAAGATAGCAAAGTGTTTATACCTGAAAGGAATGCCCGGGATATGTCCATTTGCATTGAAACTGCCATGGCACAAGTCATGTGTGTCAGCCTGGCTCAGTTGGTGGCACTTTCACTTTTGAGTCCGAAGGTTGTGGGTTCAACTCCATGTCAGGCCTTCGAGCTCAGCGTCTAGGCTGATACTCCAATACTATGCTCCATTGGATGGGTCGTCCTTCGGATGAGACATTAAACCAAAGTCCTGTCTGCCGGTTCAGGTTGATGAAAGTATAAGTGAGTTACTCTGAAACAACAATCACTCCCCACGTCCCAAAATAAATGTAGATTATTCACTTCATGGCTGTACACGGGACATTGATGTGTGCAAATTGGCTGTTCCGTTGGCCTACAAAATACACAGTATAATACAATATATCCCGTGAAGCGCTCCAACACATTCTCCTGACGTGAAAGGCCCTATATCAAATTTAAGGAATATTATTATTGAAGTGCTTGCTTGATGACCTGTTATATTGCACAAATACAAACCTGAAATACCTCAATTGATGTTCAGAATTATCTCTGTAAAATGTGCAGTAAAAGCTGACAGGCTGGATCAGAGGGAGATAAGTCTGTTAGGAGGTTGGGGCATTCTGCTCTGCATAGTGAATGCCAGTCAGCATTCTCTTTTAAACGCAACACTTTTGCCCACATGTACAACAACAAGAAGAACAAAATTACATTTATAGAACGCCTTTCATGTCGGGAGGATGTCCCAAAGCGCTGAACGGTTAGGAGTTTGGGCCCAAGCATGGGGGAGGGGTGGGGTAGGGGTGAGGGAAGGCAGAGAGATGGGAGGGAGACCAAAGGCACGGTCAAAGAGAAGGGTCTTGAGACCGGCCTTGAAGGATGCAAGGGAGGAAGCGAGGCGAAGGGACCATGAGATGGAGATCCAGAGTGTGGGGGCAGAGAGGCTGAAAACCCGGCCACCAATGGTAGGGCGGGTCGGGCGGGAGACATGGAGGAGACCGGAGCCCGATGAATGGAGGGAACGGGCAGGTTGGTAGGGAGTCAGCAGGTCAGTGAGGAAGGAGGGGGCAAGGCCATGGATGGCCTTCAAGGTGAGGACGAGGATCTTGAACTCGATCCTCTGGGGGATGGGGAGCCAGTGGAGTCGGGTGAGGGTGGAAGTGATGGGGTCACAGAGCCTGGTGCGTGCGAGTACACGAGCTGCAGAGTTTTGGATGATCTGCAGCTTGTGAAGGGAAGAGTTGGAAAGGCCGATGAGGAGGGAGTTCCCGTAATCAAGTCTTGAATGACGAATGCGTGGGTGAGGGTTTTGGCAGCCTGAGGGGTGAGGCAGTGGCGGAGTCTGGCAATGTTGCGGAGGTGGCGGTAGGCAGTGCCCGTCATGGCGCGGATGTGGAGGAGAAAGGACAGTTCAGGGTCAAACAAGATATTCAGGTTTCTGACTGGTTTAGTGAGGTTGAGTGTGCAGCCATGGAGCCTGATGCTGCCAACGACTGAGGTGCGGAGGCGCTGGGGCTATATAGAGGGCATTTCAATCCCAATATTGTGTTTAAATAAACATCTGCACAAATGAGGTAGGCTGGACTACTCATAAGTTATGAATATCAAATTTCTTTCTTCTGACTAAGCTATTCCTAAACTAATGACACAAAGACAAATTGTTTCAGGGGATATTTTTTTTTCTGGCAGTTCTAAAAAGCCCACGATGATCAGTTTCTTTAGTTTAGTTACTTCTTGGCTGTTTGTGGTACATTGCTGTATGTAAATTGGCCGTAGTAAGGAAACACTATAACAATAATCATTGCATTTGATATAGTTTCTTATCACATCTTTGAGACATCTCAAAGTGTTTCACAGAATATACTGTAAAGTGAGTTGACTGTATATTTTATGGGCAAAACACGGCAGCCAATTGCGCACAGCAGTGTCCCACAAAGAGTCGTGGATTGGGTCACCAATTTTTTTGGGGTGGGATTATTACCCATGGAGAGCGATCTGACAATCGACTAACAAACAGATTCTTACTTACTACTAGGTAAATAAATTCCATCTGGGTCGAGATTTACTCCGTTTATATAGATTTTACAACATCTGGAGTTCAATTCAATTTTAGCTTTTGAAGTTTCATAGAATCTTACAGCACAGAAGGAGGCCATTTGGCCCATCCATGAGCCTGTGCCGGCTCTTTGGAGGAGTTTCTCAGAAAAGAGGGGTTTCTCCCAGTATACTGGCCAACACTATTCCAGATAAATTAAACATTCTCTTTCTGGGACCATGCTGTGTGTGTATAAGATGTCTGCCACTTTTGCTTACAAATGCAGTGACTACACCAGACAGACAGCATTTTCTTGTGAAGATATTTTGATGTTTATAGGAGCTATATTAAATGCAACAATTATGTTATTAACTGCACAAATCCCACAACATATGACAAAAATACTCTGGGATTTTCTCCAGTGCTGAAGTGACAATTCACTGTCTAAAATATTCTCCCATGACCCTTGATCACAGCATTCCATTAGAGTTCACAGACTTCTCACAATCTTGCCAGACTTTCAAATTCACAGTATGGTTTGAGACGTCAACACAGTGCCGAGGGCTGGGTTGGACTGAGATGGCAATCTTCCAATGAGAAATTAAACCAGGGTCCTATCTACCTTTTCAGGTGGATGTTAAAGATCGCATGACACTACTTGACAAGATAATGATGTTTCTCCTAATGTCATGGCCAGCAATCTCAAAATAAACATAGTCATTCATTTCACAGCTGTTTATTGGACATTGCTGTACTCAAAATTGGCTGCCCCGTGGGCATACAAGATACACAGTCACTGCTCTTTACAGTGAATCTTGTGAAACACTTTGAGACATTCCCCCACCAAAGCAAAAGGCACTATATAAAATGCAAGCATTATTATTCTAAACAAAATCTCTTCAGGCTCTCTTAAAAGCCAGTTATAAGGTGATATGGAGCGGAAAACAATAGTCTGAAGCAGTATTTAATAATGCAGGCTTGGAGTTGTTTGCAGGGACTCTTGTTGGTAACCATCAGTGCAGCATGGTCAACTTCTAGGGATCTTACAATTTCTGTTGCTTTGTAGCAGGGATTGTGCCATCGAGATAACAATGCTGTATACATTTGCATTTATATAGCGTCTTTCATATTGGGAGGACATCCCAAGGCACTTAATGGTGTTGGCAGCCGTGGTGGGGAGGGAGTTGGGGGGGGGTTAGTGCTGGAGGGGTGTTGGGAGGAGAAAGAAAACTGAAAGCGCAGTTGAAGAGGTAGGTCTTGAGATGGACCTTGAATGTACAAAGTGGGGGGGGAAACAAGCTGAAAGGAGGATGGAGCTCCAGCTAAGGCTGTATCTTGAGAAACAGCAGCCAAATGCTGTGCTCTGGGAGTGCAGCAATAACAATAACCAGGCTGCCTAAGTGGGGATGCGGAGTGTGGAGAGTGATAATTATTGACTAGTTATGGTTCGCAGTGTTTGGCAATGTGATAATTATCATTGATTCCCACCCCAATAATACTGTATGTGACCCCAACCCTCCCACCCACACAGGCAAGTGAGTGTTACATGCATAAAAAACAGCTGCCCAGACAATCAGGGATTTCCCTCCCCTCAAGGTCCTTCCAGTACACAAAGGGTTAAGAACAATTATTTTCATCCTCTTTCTGTTTCTCAGTGGCTGTTGAGGAGGACGCAGGGCTCAGAGTTTGCACATAAGTGAAACAGAAAATCAAGTACCGACATAACACTAAACGTAAGTCCAATGAATTACAATTACACACAGAAGGCAGGAGACAGCAGCATTAAAGCCAAACATTGAAGCCGAGCATCTGGTTTCCACAGCAACAGTCCTGGACAGCTCCTTGTGGTATGGAGTGGAGGGCAGGGGGAGGGGAAAAGGGAGAGGGAAAAGGGGGAGAGGGAGGAGAGAGAAAATGGGAGGGAGCTGGGGGTGAGTAGGAGGGGGAGATGGAAAGGGGAGAGGGAAAGAGAAAGGAGGACAGAAAGCGGAGTGGGGAGAGGATAAGGAGGATGGAAAGGGAAAAGGAGAGGGAAGAACAAGGGGGAAGAGAGGGAGAAATGGGGGAAGGGGAGGTGGAGGAGGGGTGCTGGGATTGAAAATAAAAGCTGTCTGTTTCCTTCGGTGTTTGTGTATATATGTGACTTGGACCCATTTTTCAATGTAAACAGCACCGTAAAATCCTTAGCAAAACGTGAACTAGGCATTGCCACTTTAAGAGCGTGGAATGTGAGTGGTTGCATTTGGTGGGTTGTTATGAATTGGGTTGTTTTCAACTGAATAATTTGACTTGGATGGACTCCAGCCTGCACTGTGAACAGTTGCAGAGCCTTATTATTGTCGATATAACAAACAAGATAACCTGGTATTAAATTTCTGTCCAGACTTGCAGTGGCCCTGAATGGATTCTTTTGTTTAGCCAAGTGCAGAGCTCCTCACAGTTAACCAGACACCTGAAAATATAACCTGAATGGCTCACTTTACTCCACTGACAGAATAATGTCTGCAAATTCTAGTCGAGCCTGTCCATTTAAAAGCCTTGGTTTTTTTCTTGTCATTATTCTTGTGCAACTGAGAATGCTGTGCATTCCTGAGTCACTATTTGGTGCACCAAAGGAATCTGTTTACAAGAGCTCCTCTGCCATATAATATCTCTAAAAAGTGGCCTACAGGAAAGATAGATAGATTCTTGTGTGGTTTATCAGTGTTGAATCTCCTGATAGCACTGTAAACAGAAAAAGCTGGTTTACCCATACATGTTGATCTCCGAACTGTTGGAATGACTTGTGAATAGCTCAGCTGAGCAACTTGTTTTGCACAATCTCAATTGTGGTGGCTTTGCTCCTGGTCAGAGTTTCACAGAATGTGCCACAAAATGGGTGATGTCACTGCACTCAGCAATGTACACTGAATCCTTTGTGCTGGGTGGAATTCGGACAATTTGATGAGATACCAGGTATTGCTATGAGCTTTAACCATAGGCAATCCGGAGTTTTAAAGTGTGGGGAGTGAGTATTATTGTGGCGAGCCTTCCCACGGAATAACTAAAAGTGGAGTCAAATAGAAAGGGGCAAACTATGCAGTTTGCTGGTTAGACTCCAGTAGTACCCCAACACACACTCTGGGGTCCCCAATCCTTGCCTCTTATTAACCTGCCCCAAATACTTTCCGAAATTAGGTAAGCAGAATGTGTTCCTCCAGGGAATTAGTGCTCATTCCATTCCAACAATTTGACTCAGGAAATTTTTGGATACTCTTAAGCATAATGATGGGTTTCTTCATGTATCAGTCATGGATCTGACCCCCAAAAATACAAAGGGGCTGATGAGTGGGAGTTTGGGGAGTGAGAATTGTTATTCTCCACGTAGCAAATTCATTGCTATGTCTAAACTATCTGCCACTTTTAGTAAGTATTAGTAATTTCTCCCTGTGTACTCTTACATAAATGCTGAATTATTTTTAACACGGGTTTTACACAAATCACATAATAGACCTCTTTGTAAATGTCAAATCAAATTATACTTTTAAAATGCCTGTTGTATTTATATTATAAATCAGAAGTAAATTCACTAAACTTACCAAACTGAACAGGCTAGCGCTTAGCCTACATTAACAAATTTGCTAAATGGAACGCAAAGAATGATAAATAATAACACTTGTATATGTCTTAAGGTCTCAAAGCATGTCACAACATTTTTTTNAACGTAAAAGGTGGTATCAGCCTATGGTTAGTCGGTAGTACTCTTGACTCTGAGTTAGAAGGTTGTGAGTTCAACAACAACAACAACAAAATTACATTTGTATAGTGCTGTTCAACATCAGGAGGCAGTCCCAAGGCACTGGACAGTCAGTGTTTTGGACTCGAACTAAGGGTCGGGATTGGGGAGGGTGGAGGGCAGTGGGTGGAAGCAGGGTGATCGAAGGCATGGTCAAAGAGAACGGTCTTGAGATGGGTCTTGAAGGAGGCAAGGGAGAGGCAGGGATGGAGTTCCAGAGGGTGGGGACAGTGTGGCAGAAGGCCTACCATCAATGATGCGGTGGGCGTGGCGGGAGGCATAAAGCAGGTCTGAGCCCGCTGAGCGGAGGGAGTCGGCAGTATAGTAAGGGCTTAGGAGGTCGCAGAGGTAGGTAGGAGCAAGGCTATGGAGGGTTTTGAAGGTGAGGACCAGGATCTTGAACTGTATCCTCTGTGTGATGGGAAGCCAGTGGAGTCGGGTGAGGATGGGGGTGATAGGGTCACGGAGCCTGGTGCGGGCGAGGACACGGGTTGCAGAGTTCTGGATGATCTGCAGCCTATAGAGGGAGGAGTTGGGGAGGCCGACAAGCAAGGAGTCTGAATAGTCAAGCCTTGATGTTATGAATGCATGTATGAGGGTTTCGGCGGACTGCGGTGTGAGACAGTGGTGGAGCCGGATAATGTTGTGGATTGGGGGGGAAGCCAAAGCAGGTCATGGCACGGATGTGGGGTAGAAAAGATAGTTGAGGGTCAAACAAGATGCCAAGGTTCCAGACTGGCTTAGTAAGGTGGAGTGTGATGGTGATGCTGTCAGCTCCTGAGCTGTGGAGGCGCTGACAGGAGCAAATCAGGAGAGCCTCGGTCTTGCTGACATTCAACTGAAGAAAGTTAGCTCTCAGGTGGACTTAATGTCTGACAGACATTCTGTCAGCACAGCAGTGGTTCTGGAGTCAAGGGTGGAGGGAGAGAGGTACAGTTGGGTGTCATCTGAATACATGTGGAAGTTGACCCCATGTCTGTGGATGATGTCACCAAGAGGAAGCATATAGATGTTGAAGAGGAGGGGACCAAGGACAGAGCCCTGAGGAATGCTGCACGAGACAGTGCAGGGGCTAGAGGAGAAACCATTTGTGGAGATAAAGTGGAGGCGGTATGAGAGGTACGATATGAACCATTCAACCAGTGAATGTTGAGGTGGTGGATGAGGATGAGGAGCGGTCAATGGTTTCGAAGGCGCAGAGAGGTCAAGGAGAATGAGGAGGCAGAGGGAGTCCTGTTGCAGATGGACAGAATTCCTACTTACTGCTAGTTAAACAGATGTGTGTGGAGTAAGGAAACTTGCCCAACGTTTCACTCTGCCGAGAATCAAACTCACATCTCTCACTTGCAAGGTAAGTGATCTAACCACTAAGCTACAGGACTTCATTGAAGGGATTGTCATTTGCATGAAGCATTAAACTAAGTTCCTATTGCCTCTTCAGGTGGCTTTTGAAGACCTCTTGGCACTATATATACATAAATATATATATACAACGCAGCATACCCTCAGCACTTAGAATGTCAGTCTAGAATATAAGCTCCAAATTGCTGGTGTGATGCTTCAACCCACAACTTTCTTATTTGGAGGCACAAGTGCTATGAACTGAGCTAGACTGACACATACACAATTGCATTTGTTAGCCAAATATTGCTATTTACATCTAAATATTAAAAATACAGGATTACTAAGACATATCCAAATGTTTTTCATTGAGATCAGCGAGAGACCTGGGTTCGATTCTTGGAAGAAAAAAAACACATGCCTGATAATAATTCCTCAAGAAAAGAAAAGAAAATTAATAGTTTATTCACTCAATCCACGACTGTTTGTGGGACACTGCTGTACCAATTTTGCCCACAAATGTACAATCAATTCACTTTACACTATATTCTGTGAAGAGCTTTGAGACGTCTTGAAGACGTGAAAAGCGCTATATCAAATGCAAGGATTATTATTATTATTATTCAAAAAGAGAATGAAGTTTCTTCTGGTGTTCTGGTCAACAATTACCCAAATAAAATTGATTATTGATTTTATGGTTGTTTTTGGGACATCGCAATGTGCAAATTGGCTGCCATGTTCACTTCCAAATATACAATCACTATACTTTCCAGTAAATCCTGCAAAGCAGGTTGAGATGTTTCGATGGCGTGATAAGGAGTTGTATGAAATGGTATTGTCAATGATATGAAAGGACTATTATGATAACAAAGGGTACCTGATCTGAGAACATAAGAAAATATGGAACATGAAAAAGGTATTTGACCTGTCCAGACACTCCTTTTTACAAACAGCACAAAACATGTCCCTTGTCACAGACTAACCAACAATGGAAAGAGAAAATATACAGACATGCCCCGGATAGAATGAAATTCACTGGCTCTGGTAGTCTGTACTTTTCCCTTATGCTTTCCCGAGCAGCTAGATAAGGTGTTGCAATTTTGACCATCAAGCCTGTTTCTTCCACAGATTTTACATACATTAATTTCCCTCACAAGAGGCTCTGTCCCATGTCTTTTAAGATCTTGAGGGAATTGTAGAAACAGGCAAAGGTAAAGCTCTGTCAAATATCTACTTCATCCTCACAAGGTAAGTTAGCAAAACAGCAAGATATTATCTATCAGTTGAACCCACACAATTTGATCCTATCCAGTTACATTCCACAGATGACATTTGGATGATACCGGTAAAATTGAATACATTCTGCCACCGGCAATAGATACCTTACACGTTCTGCATTGGAATCCACAGGAGCGCTACAGACAAATTAAAGAGATTCATATCATTACACAAAAAAAATGCTCTGTACAAATTGAATTCCTCCCTCCCTCCCCTATTTGCTGGCTCACTTGGTAAAACCATCAACCAATGTAAATCTGAATCACACTGATCAAGAAAATAAAACTACAAACTACAGCATGTGACTTGTACAAGAAAGATCACCTAGCCTTAGGAATT